ACATGATAAAGTGCTGCAGCACGCCTTTTAGTTAAAGACATGTCTTTATTAAAAGCTTAAATAGCTAGGTTAATTCTAGCCTCTTTTAAAGATAATTAATTATATAGTTGTTAATGCATTGCAGTTAGTAGTAGGTTGGCTGCGTTTTAGTGGTGGGGCGGAACACTTGCTTGTGTTGAACATTCGCTTGTGGACCATGTTACTTTATTATTACTCTTACTAATTTATAGTTAATTAAATTAACTACTAATTAGTGTTAAATAGGCTCTGTTAGCTAGCTGCTTATAGTATAAGCACTTAAGTAGCAAGAGTAAGAGTAGTGTACAGTGCGCACAGCGTACAAAGTAGGTAGGGTGGGGGCAACATGTTTCTAGTTCTGTATTGCTCTGTCTTTCCTTAGTACAGAGGAAAAGAGGAATATCTAGATGTTCGCGCACAGAGGTTCGCGCACAAGCATCATGTGACATAGCTACATAATCCTTCTTGTGCGCGATAACTATCTAGACTGTAACGCTGTTGCTATGTACAGACATTTGTTAAGTTTATTATAAATTTCTTTTAACATTAGCCTTTATTTTACGCGCATAGCTTTTATAGCTAGTTTTTTATCTTTATTCTCTAAGTTTTAGAGTCTAGACATTTTTAATAAAAGTATTCTACTTTTTTCATAGTTTAGACAGGCTTTTTTTAACCTATTTTTTTTATTTCTTGCTTAAAAGTAGTCTATTACTTTTAAGAGGACTCTTACTTTTTTTTAAAGGTACTATATATATGTTTTGTATAACTAAGGTCTATTAGCTTTCTATTATATTAGAGAGCCTTTTTTTTCTTTAGTGTCTAATCTAACTTCTATGTTGTTATACCTGTTTCTTCTCTCTCTAATGTTCTATATATCTTTTATTATAAGTTATTGCTTAGTTAATAAATTTTTTTAAAGTTTTTAGTTTTTTATTATACATAAACTTATCTTTAACTCTATTATTTAGCCTGTTATAGAACATTCTACTTATAGCTTACTAATCTGTTTATCTATAAATAGCTAGTTGCTTGCAGAAGCAAGCTGTGTAATGCTAAACTAATTTTTTTTATTATAAAAAGTTTATCTTATTAACTATAATTTTTTTTAACTTACTAGCTTATAAATAGTAATTAGAGCTTTTTTAAAAAAGTTAATGCTACTAAAGATTTTTTTTATTTTTAGTAAAAAAGTTTTTTATTAGCTTTAAAATTTATCTAGCTGTCTATGTAAGGTTAGAACTAAATAGCTAAAAAGCCTTTTAAGTAAAGTTCTATCTAAGAAATTATTTCTTTATAAGTTTAAAAGGCACCTTTACTATACTGCATATAGAGGTAGCATTATGTAAAGAAGAGTTTAAGATCCTTTACACTTCTGCTAAAAAGCTTAAGAGGTGCTAGTTTTAACTTTTTTTTTTAAGTTTATAACGTACCTAACAGGTTGGCCGGCCACACAGGTTGGCCGGCCACTTTTGCCAAGCCCCTACTAAACTCTACCTATCTACATAATGCCTTAACAACAACACTAGATTAAATCTTCTAAAGAATGTTAGATACAGCTTGCTCTTTAGGCTTTTAAATAAGACTTAAAACTCTTTTTATAACGCGCTGCAGCTATTTATAATGTCTCTTACACAACACTAAGTAATTAACGCGCTAGACAGCCTTTATAAGCAGAATGCTAGCCTAAATTAAGGAATCTAACTAAGCTTAAAAAAAGGTAGTTATTAAGTACATACTTAAGCTTATTACACGCAGATTTCCCCTTAGGCTTACAGCTATAGCTAATATAGCTAATTCCTTGCCTATAGAGCGCAATCTAGGCTAGGTTAGCTTAAACTAGCCTAGTATGTAGGTTAAGCACTGCCCTAAGTTTATAATAAAGTTTAATTATAAGTATAATTATAAGAAAGCGCTTTATAAGAATCTAAAGGTTATCTAGAGCTAGTTTTACCTAGTAGCTAACATAAAAGCTAAGTATAGTATCTAGAATAAAGACATATATAACTTTAATAAGTTAAGCTTTATAATAAGCTAGATATTAACTAGAGCAGTTATTATAGCTTTAAAGAGACAAGGATAGCTAAAGGTAATATAGTAAGGTAATAAAAAGTAAATAATAGTTATCTAAAGCATTAATATAATAAAGTAGGCTATAAGATTATAAAGCTTTAAGCAGTAAATAAAGCTGCTATACAACATAAATTACATAAAAAAAAGTAGATTTAGGCAAAAAAAACTTTAATAGTTAAAGATAGAGCTTATCTAACTACTCTAAAGGAGTTTAAAGCGCGTAGTAATAGGAAGAAGCTAAAGACGCAGGTGCGCGCTAAAAGAGGTAAGATAAGTTAAAGGTAATATAAGTAGTGTAATTAAACTAGGCATAACTTGCGTATGTGTAAGTAAGTAGTAGAAGTAGACTCTAAATAATATCTTATGTTGTATTGCTTTATATAGAGCTAAAGTAGGCTGTTTTACAAGAGAATAGGGTGGTTTTAGTAGGGGCTTAGCAAAAGTAGCCGGCCAACCTGTGTGGCCGGCTAACCTGTTAGGTACGTTACTTAATTTTTCTTAGGCTATATTTCTTAGGTTTAATACTTTAAGTTAGAGAGCTTAGATCTAAGAATTTACTGCTATTAGTTCTTAGTTTACTAACTAGGCTAGCATTTACTTTAACATAGCTATTTAATTTTTTAAATTATTTAACTATTAGTTTATTACTTTTTTATTTAGAGTTAGAACCTAGCTAGTACTAGCTAATAAAGCGCTAGTTATTTCTAAGTTAGTAGAAGTTATATAAAATTTTATACTTTATTAGAGAGTAGTAATTAATGTTACAATCTTTACTTTAGAGAAATAGTGTCTAAAGAACTCTAGGCCTAAGAAGAAGGTTAGAAGTGTAGAGAGAAGAGAACTTAGTCTTAGGCAGGTGTACAGTCTGTTAAGGCGTAGTTACTAGGACTAGAAGGTGTAGCTAACTATAGTTTACCCTTTAACAGCAGTATAAGGCGCTTAGGTTAAACAGTTTCTAGATAGGAATAAAAGAGAAGATATATATATAGTGTAAGATATATAATTAGATTACTTCTTATTAAAAAGTAGTAATGCTACTTAGTCTATATAAATAATAAACTAGACTAAACTTTAATTACAGCTTTTAAGTAAAGTTAGAATTTTAAACTATATACATAGAGTTGCATGCAATGCATGCATGCGGGGCCTGCTTATTAGATAATGCATTCCGCCGCGCATTAGTCTAGCAGCTTGGTCCATTCCTTGTCCGTCAAGTCACGTGACTTGTTGGGCAGGGAATTGAGGACTTTCCATCCTTGATTGTTTAAACAGTGGGGCACAGCTGACTAGTTGCTTATAGTCTAATCGTAGATCGTAACAAAGAGATACAATAGTATAGTGTCTTTAAAACTACTATTACTACTTTGTCTATATAATAAAAAAACTAAACATTAATTACAACCTTTAAGCTATAGTTAGGATTAAGAATATACATTAAGTTTACATGCAGTGCATGCAGTTTAGTTTTTGCATGCACCTTCCTTAGCGCATGCATTTCCGCCAAACTATTATCTCTATCCAGGGACACCCGGGTTGTCACGTGACTTGCGGCACTGCCATTCCTGTTGTGCAGCTAGGAAGAAGTTCTACTACTAGTTGTTGTTCAATCTAGTGGCTAATCGACGCTCGCTTATAGTCTAATTAGAGACTGTAACAGCAACTTGCCTGTAGTGTACGTTACTTAAGTTAAATATATAAGGATTTTTCTCTTAGCTAGTAGCTATAGCTAATATAGCTAATTCTCTAAACACTAAGTATAATCTAGGCTATATTAGCATAAGCTAGCTTAGTATGTTTTTAAAAATTGTTGTCTAAAGCTGTTTATAAAATTCTAGAGTAATTTAAAGCTAAGCATAACATCTAGAATAATAATAATAATAACTTTAATAAGATAGGCTTTATAATAGGCTAGATATTTACTAACTATACTTATACTTAAAACTTTACTTTAAGCTTTAGATAACACTTTATAAACGTACTTAGCTAGGTTATGCTAATATAGCCTAGATTATGCTTAGCGTGTAAAGAATTAGCTATATTAGCTATAGCTACTAGCTAAGAGAAAAATCCTTATATATTTAACTTAAGTAACGTACACTATAGGCAAGTTGCTTACACACTTAAGTTACTTACTTTTACTAAGACTATACTACACTACTTTTTTTTACACTAATGCATTTCTAACAACACTACTTAGATGTGTTAAAAGATATAGCTTATACTCTAGACTTTTAAAAAAGATGCAACACTTTTTAAGTAATATATTATAGCTATTTATAAGAGTTTTTAAAGGATAATAAGTAACTAACACACTAGATAACTTTTTAAGCTAATTATATAGCTAACTTATAAAAGCTAGATAATAATAAGAAGTAGGTAATTATTAAGCACATACTTAAGCTAGATGCGCAAGGATTTCCTCTTTAGCTAGCAGCTGTAGCTAATATAGCTAATTCTTTACGCAGTAAGCGTAATATAGGCTATGTTAGCGTAAACTAGCCTAGTACATTTATTAAGTGTTACTTAAAGCTTTAAGGAAAGTTTAAGCGTAAGTATAACTATAAAAAAGCCTTTTATAAGAATTCTATACTAATTTAAAGCTGTAACAATTCTTATAAATTGTTCTATCTTAGGTTGCTTAGAACCTATCTAAAGGGTCCTGTATCGGCCCTAACCCTAACTTAACCCTATCCCCTACAGTTACCTCTTCTCTTAGCTAGCTTAGTAGTTTTCTAATATCCTTCTATACAAGGCCTATAGGTGTTAATAGAATTCCTAGGTTATTTAGTCTCTACACACTCCTATATCTCTCTAAGTGGATTCCTACCGCATTTAGACCCATTGTCTTGCCTGCGCCGTTACAAATAATATTCTAGGCTGTACTGTACTATATAGTGCTAGAGCAGGTTGTTATGGGCTATAATAGAGTTTGTTGTGGTGTGGTCTTGGCAAAAGTGAGCGACTCGGGTGTGTGAGCAACTCGCTTGTGGCGTACGTTATCTAACATTCTTTTAGCGCGTTTAAGTAGTGTTGTTAGGAATGCATTAGTGTAGAAAAAGTAGTTTAGTGTAGTCTTAGTAAAAGTAAGCAACTGTGAGAGCACTGTGAAGCAGGAAGCATGAAGCGCAGAAGGGGGTAAAGGATAGTATTGATAGACAAATCCTTGAGGAGACTCAGGAGACTCAGGGGTTTGTGAGAGGATATGTATATATATGTTCTAGGGCACGTGACGGGACGTCACGTGTCCAAGGCCGGGCCGAGGGCTCTCCAGGGAGAGTCCGAGGCATGTCCAAGTTAACCGTGACAGCAACTTCGGTGTGTGAGCAACTGGCTCGTGGTGTACGTTACTTATACTTATACTCTTATAATCTAATTCTCTATACGCTTTGCTCTAGATAATTAACTGTCTCTATACGTAGGGGCTTATAACTGTCACGAAGTTGCTTAGGGAGCAATTAGGAGCAAGTCTATTGACTACGAGAAGCTCTTAGAGAGGCTGCCTATATAGTAGGAGCTCAGGCGCCAAGTGTCTCAGGCTGCACGACCTAAACACAGGCGCGACACCAGGTCACTGTGCTCTCTTACGCGACATAAGTTGATTACCTTACTGTAGTATATTAATCTAATACCCTCTCTAGAGCCATCTGTACATCCGCTGCCCCCTTCTTCTTCAAACCAAAGGACGTTAACAATTTAGATATTTTCCAGGATGGCGGGTTGCAGCACAACAATCCGGCTTTCATTTCTAGCTGGGAATGCGCATTCCTATGGCCGAGTAGATACCAGATACTAGGGCGAGATAATGGTCGAGTTGATTATATGATATCACTCGGTATCGGAACTGCATCGTCGACAAAGTGCAAGGTAGGCCCCATTCTCCAGTGAAGGATCGTTTCCTGAAACGGCTATTACGTACGTTCATGGGCCACTTAGATAGCGAGAAGCAGTGGAAGACATTCATCGACTGCGTTCCAACAGAACTACGCAGCCGCTACTTCCGCCTGAATGTAGGAATAAAAAAAACCAAATCAAGAACTAGCACATGCCTACAACTAACCTTATTATTTTAAAAATGGTACTTGTATTCCTATGTACCCTCAACAGCCTCAGTTGCTCCCTGTTCTTGCTTCCACCCTAGCACAGCGCAGCACAGTTGCAGTGTCCCTCCTGATTTCCTTTCTACTATAGAGTCCTTCCCTTTCTCTTCACTCTTTAAATCTCCCCTTGTTACATTTCTATAGAGAACAGGGTTAGCTATGGACCCTAGGGACCCTAAAGACCCTAAGCAGCGTGGCCAACAGTCCGTAGTACGTAACGTAACTACGTGAACGTAGTAATCACGTGAGGAGTACAAAAGTAGTTAAAATGTGAGACGTAACTTTTGTACAGTGAATTGCCAAGTACGTCCTGTAGTACGGGTCAGAGAGGTTATATTTTAGGAGATTTCCCTCCTGTTTTCAGACCCTATTAGCTATTGCGTTAGGAGCTTTATTTAAGGTCGCGTTTTAGAGTAACAATTATAAAAATAGTTAACTTTTGCCCTAGAAAAGCTCCTTATCTTATACCTGCCTATTTGCTAACCTATTGCCTATCTTATTAATTGTTACAATAAGCTAGATGTCTTAATTCCTCTATTGCAGCAGGCGTACAGCCTCATCCTAATCCTCCTGCTTATTAGAGTTGTCCCAACAAGCTAGAGACAGAGGGCGATAAGGAGAAGGAGGGGACTTCATCTAGGCTAAAAAGCTTCTCCTGGAACAATTTTAACCCAGACTAACAAAACTTCTTGTAAAAAGTACAAAAGTATAAGGATTTTAAGAAGTTACTGTTACGTTACGTACTTGCTAATTAATTCACTGCTTACGTACAAAAGTACTACTAAATTGAGAAGTTACTGGCAGAAAAAAGCTCAAACGTAACATACTACGTACTGTTGGCCACGCTGACCCTAAGGACACTAGCCTGTTCTAGGACATCCGGCCTTACATGGAGCAGCTCTAGACACTGTAAAGGGAACAATCGACGGCATAACCAAGATGATTGTATTGCACACTGCCTTTCTAAGCATACCCATACATTTAGCTTGGATGTTATAAACTATAAGAAAAAGGCTTAAGATACCTAAAGAGATTTTTGTTTCTCGTTGGGGTAGGTTTCTGTTGCGCAGGGAGGGACGTTACTATTGTGACAGAAATTGCTTTATTCCTTTGCCTATCGCTTTATGTCCAGTACAAATGGTCGTACTTGATAGGGATGCAAATTACAACTCATGCAATTTTCGTTTTTGTGGGAGGCTTTTCGACCTCTCTGTGATCGATACACCCAAAAAGAATATCTAAGCACTACGCTGATATCAACTGGCGCAGGGATTTAGGCATCCCGCGATAGATGTGGGCCGGCTTGTGATACCACTCAACGTGATGTGGATATTGTCTTCCATATTTTTCGTGATAAACTATAAACTCCAACCGTCGTCGAAATGTCGGCATGCCTTTAGGAATGGATTCGACGCAAGGTATTAGACGTCCGGAGACAAGGAAAAAGGCCGACTTGTGAAAGAGGTATTAGCAAAGGTTTTTGCAGCTGGAATAGTTCGAAGCCAATAGGCGCAGAATGGTACCACTGCAGGTATACGCGCCTCTATTGAGTCGAGAGTAACTATCGAGCTCAAAATAGAAAATAGATGCGACCATAGAGTCGATTGCTAGAATGGCTTGGCGGTCAGAGGTGATAAACTGACTAGCTTGATGCTTTAGACGCTCGATGGCTTGTACTTCGTCAATTGCTAGCTCCGGTCTTCGAAAGGAGAGTTCTTGTTTTTCGCTTACTGAACTTAATTCCTAAACTAGACTAGTCCGGCCACACAGGACACAGAAGTAGATAAATATCATCTAATCTCCTTAGCTAAAAGTCCCACCTAATGCGCTAGTTTTTTTGTTTAAAAAAACACCTTAGTCCGTCGTAAGTCGTTGTGAGGTTTAGATAACTAAAATTAGGACTATATATATGAATTTTAAGGAGTAAAAGTAAAGAAAGCATTTGGGAAATGATTTTGGGCTTGTGGTTTAGTGGTATAATTTTCCCTTAGCATGGGAAAGGTCCTGGGTTCGATTCCCAGCAAGTCCAACACTCGGCATTTTAGTTTTTTTTTGTTGCTGCTTCAGTCACGGGAACAAGTTTAGAATGTGTACTTAAATACATTAAAAGTGTTCTAGAAAAGCAAAGGAATACATAGTAAAAGATTAAATTATACTAGTTTAGGTTAAACTTTTTAGAAAAAAGAAAGTAATATAATAGATGAAATATAGCTACTTTTATTTTATATTTTCCTTACTTAAGGTTTTTTTAATAAGAGGTGTTTAATAGCACTATAAGAATAAAAAGACAACATTACTTATTTAAACCTAAGATTTCTTATTTAGACTAAGTAAGGCTATTCTAGCATAGAATAGCTTACTAGAGTTAAGAAAAGGGTTATTTTAAGTTAAAAAAATGTATTATATAAAAGAAATAAACATTCTAGCCTAAAATAACCTATACTAGTAAAAAAAAAGGCGGAGTTTAAGTCTAGTAGAATATTCTAAGATTGTTAAGATAAAAAGGCTATAAAGTAAGTAAACTAAAAGTAGATTAATCTATTACTACTAAAATAGTTACACTTTAAGTCTAAAAGATATAATTTAAAAGTATTTAACTTTATTAAAAAAAGAAAAAAGAAGCTTAAGCTAAAGAACTTAAAACTACACTATACTATACATTTTTAACTATTTTTACTATAGAATGCGCTAGATTACACTAGATTATGCTATTAGAGTTATAGATTAGACATTAAGATTCTTTGTAGGTAAATTTATAACAGTAGAACAACTATTAAGATATTTTTTATTATACCTAGTTAGCTACCTCTTTTTAGCTAAAGTTTAATTCTAACTAGCTTTATTCTTAATATTATTAGCTTTATTATGCTCTTTAAAGACGCAGTAGATTACATTAGCAGCTTTAATAGTATTAACATAACAATGTTGCTTAGCTTTAGTAACATAGACACTTTTAACACTATATTTTTTAATTATGCTAGTTAGTGCTAGAATAGTTAAGAATAGCGCACACTTACTTTTTTAGACAAAGTTATAGTAGCTTTATCTTTCTTAAAGTTCTTTTTAAGTGTCTTAGGCTTTTTTTTTCTCTTTCTTACTAATATTAGCTTTAGAGTGGGCGCGCTTCTTAAAAACAACTCTAGTCTTAGTAATTTTACCTATAACACTACTATGTGTGTATAAATAGTTGTTATATAGAATTTTGTTTTTACTAGAGGGTATTAAGAGCTAGAATAAAACCAATTAAGTTAGATTATGCTGCAACAGGAAGACTTACACCTAAAGGTACTAAATAATAGTGTTTACCTATAACATAACTATTCTATTAGCCTACACTAACTAGGCAGAGTTAAGTAGATTAACAGAGGATATAATGTTAAAAATAGTGTTTTTAAAAGCCTGTTAACGTACTTCACAGGCAAGTTGCTTACACACCTAAGTTACTTACTTTTACTAAGACCTTACTACACTACCTTTTTTACACTAATGCATTTCTAATAACACTACTTAGACATGTTAAAAGAATGTTAGATATAGCTTACACTTTAAGCTTTTAAATAAAACATAACACTTTTTAAGTAACACGCTATAGCTATTTATAAAGTCTTTTAAAAAATAATAAGTAACTAACACACTAAATAACTTTTCTAAGCTAATTATATAGCTAACTTATAAAAGCTAAATAAGAATAAAAAGTAAGTAATTATTTAGCACATACTTAAGCTAAATGTATAAGGATTTCCCCTCTAGCTAGTAGCTATAGCTAATATAGCTAATTCTTTACACACTAAGTGTAATATAAGCTATGTTAGTATAAACTAGCTTAATATATTTATTAAGTGTTACTTAAAGCTTAAAGTAAAGTTTAAGTATAACTATAACTATAAAAAAGCTTTTTATAAAATTTTTATAGTAATTTAAAGCTAGTTTAACTTTATAAAGAATATTAAAGCTAAGTATAGTATCTAAAATAATAATATATATAACTTTAATAAAATAAAGTTTATAATAGGCTAGATATCTACTAAAGTAGTTATTATAAGTTTAAAGTAATAAAGATAGCTAAAAGTAGTTTAGCTAGGTAACTAAAAGTAGATAATAGCTATTTAGAGCATTAATGCTAAAAAGTAAGCTATTTTACTTTTTATTATTTTTTAAGGTAGTAACTACTTTTTAAACTAATATAAAAAAAATCTACTTTAGAATTAAGTTATTATAATCTTTAAGTGTAGCTAGACTACTAATTAGCTTAGTCTAGACTAGTTAAAGCACTTTAACTTATATATAAAAAAGTGTACTATTAGTAGCTACTATCTACTAGTTATTAACAGCTATAAAAGCTATAACTTACTTTATTTTTAGTAATACTATAAAAATAATAAAATTATTACTATTTATATACTTTTTTACTTATTACACTTTTTATAGCTACTTAATATAGGGTGTTTTACTTTTTAAAAAAAAAGTGTATAAGCGCTAATCTAAAAACTTTATATATAACTAAATTACTTATATTATAAAAATAAAGTTCTTACTATGCTTTAAAGTAGCCTATAATACTATAATTACTTTTAGTAATATTTAAAAAGAGTTTTAAAGCGCTAGATTAGTTCCTTTTAACTTATAATAAGTTATAATAGGCTTTAATGTAAAGTTACGCACTTTATTACTACTACTACTTATATATAATAAGCTCTAGTAGTTGTAAACCCTAAGTAATACTTTAAAACTTAAGTTATAATTAATGCTTATAAAAATAAAAATTTAAAAGTATATAAATAGTTTACTAACTTTTATAGTTAAAGTGTTTAAAAAAGTTTTAAAAAAGGTAGTAATAATTACATATAAGCTAGTGTTAGTGTAATAAGAAATTACTAAGCTTTAAGTAGCTAATAAAGCTACTATGTAACATAAATTATATAAAATAAAGTAAATTAAAGTAAAAAAAAACTTTAATAATTTAAAAAAGCTTACACTTAATAGCTCTAAAGGAGTTTAAAGCGCGCAGTAACAAAAAAAAAGGTAAAAAAGCAGGTATAAGCTAAAGTAGGTAAGCTATTCTAAAGGCGCTATAGATAGCGTAATTAGACTAAGTATAACACACAAACATGTAAGTAAGAAGTAGAAGTAGTATCTAAATAATATTTTAGGCTGTACTATACTATATAGCAGGGTTGCCGTTTACTATAGTAATTACTATGCAACCTTTTAGCTCTAGTAAAAGTAATTACTATTACTAGGTGTGTATAGTAATAGTAATTACTATTACTAGGTAGGTATAGTAATAGTAATAGTAATTACTATTACTATTTACTAAAAATAGTATAAAAGTATAACATAAGTCTGAATTAGCTATTTAAAATTTATAGCACTTTTAACTTTATTTTTCTTATTTTACTTAGACTACTATATTTAGATAAACTTAGTAAACTAAGTAAAATAATTTAACTAAATAAACTAATCTAACTAAATAATTTAAATAATCTAAATAAAGAAAATAACTTAAGTAAACTAAGTAACTTAAATAACTTAAATAAACTAAAAAATTTAAATAAACTAAATAACTTAAATATAAAAAATAACTAAAGTAAAAGAAATAACTAAAATAAAGAAAATAACTAAATAAATTATATAACTAAAATAAACTAAATAAATAAAATAAACTAAATAGTTTTTATTTATAGCTTTACTTGTCTGTACGCAGCAGCAGCGTCACGGTCTGGATACAAGCGATCGCGCACGAGCAGGACCACGTATCTATGTCACATGATGCTCGTGCGCGAACCTCTGTGCGCGAACATCTAGATATCCCCCTTTTCCTCTATACAGAGGAAAGACAAGAGCAATAAAACTAGAAACATGTTACCCTTACCTTACCTACCTTATACGCTGTGCACACTATACACTACTCTTACTTTTACTACTTAAGTGCTTATACTATAAGCAGCTAGCTATTAGAGCCTATTTAACACTAATTAGTAGTTAATTTAATTAACTATAAATTAGTAAAAGTAATAATAAAGTACTAACACTTTATAAAGTACTTTATTTTATTACTTATTTTTTAAAAAAAGTAACAGTAGAGTACTTATACTTTATAAGGTACTTTATTTAGTTACTTATCTCTTAAGATAGTAGATTAATTCTTTACATTATATAGTAAGCTCTGCTACTATATAAAGTAAAAAGAAGATAGTGTAAGACGCATACTAAAGCTACTAAAGCTGCACAACCTAGTAGCTAGATAATAGCACATTAATTCTTTACATTATACAGCAAGCTCTGCTACTGTACAAAGTAAAAAGGAGATAGTGTAAGGCGCACACTAAAGCTATTAAAGCTGCACAACCTAGTAGCTAGACAACAGCAGTACCTGCGCAATTTACTAGAAAAGTAATTAACTATACTATTATAATAAAATCCTACTAGCAACTAATAACTTTATATAATAATAAAAAGAATAAGAAATAATTCCTATTATATAAATAACTTATAAAAAACATAAGAATATTAAAAGTAACACTATAAAATAAGACTAGCCTAGAGTACTAGAATAATAAAATTAATATATTAGAAGCTTTAATAAGCTTACAGACTTAATTATACATAAGTTATATAATTACTAATTTACATATAATAACTTAGAAAAGCGCTACTTTTCTAAGTGCATATATAAAGAATTTTAAAAAATAGACACTATAAAACTTCTTAGCACTTAGCTACACATTTAAAAAGAAGCTTATATAAGTACTAAAGAATAAAAGAATTACACTATAGCTAGGCACTAAAGGTAC